TGCCTACTTTAATAGGACTGATATAATATTACCAAGATAGATATAACAGTATTGTTTCTCAATCTTGATGTAATTTATTTTTATGTTTATTATCAATATTATTTCATATTTTGTTAATTCGTTAATAAAATTKTCAATTTTATATTTTATTTTCATTAAYCTAAATAAACCCACAGTTTTGATCTAGTTCAAATAAAAAATTACATCCAAATAATCTTAGTTCATGTAATACCTTTAGCAAATTTTGAACTTCATTCTCAAAAATGTTATTTCTATAACTTAATGATTTCACCTAAACTCCCTTTCTAATCTATATTGAAAGTCTACAAATTTAAAGGTAGATAAATATGTGTTAAATTCTGTTTCTAAACTTACAAATGCATTTATATAACTTGAGATAAAATATTCTTACTACCTAGTGCTAGTGTGTTAAATTGTTTAGAACTACTATTTGAATACGAAACGAGATATGTAATCTTTCGAAATAATCTAGTCCCCTGTCCAATGTAATCTAATACTCAAACCTTAACGCACAATTAAAAAAAAAAAAAATATGAATAATATGATCTTATAGTTGCTGTTTAGGTCCACCGTCGTTTAATTAAAGGTTATCAACGCGGTCATACATGCCGCAGTGTACCAAAATGWCTAAATCAGAATTAATTAATACATCTATCACTTGACTAAATACGCACATAATATCAGGTAGATGCTTATTTATTTAGATCAGCGTTGGCATCTGGTTCATTCTTGGTTTTATTCTTTAAAATATATTTCAAACATATTTACTAATTGGAAATAAAATTGAACGTTTTAAATTCATTAYTAAATTAAAAAATGTCGTTCACGTCCATATTCTATTTTWAAAAAAAGAGTGATGAAGTCCKCGTATCATCCACTAAATATACGCGAACAATGTGCGTCCATTAACGACGTTTTTTCCAAACACTGATTTATATAGGTTTAGATATACTGAATATTTGGCTCGCCGCATAATATCTATTTTTGAAGCGTTCAAAACTGGAAAAAGTCGATCATAACTATTCTTCGCATAGTATACCTTTAATTTTATACCGATCTCTTATTAGGCAGTCCCTGTCTCACAAATATATAACAATATGGTAGGTAAGTATATATTTGTGTTCAACAGTTCCAAATGTAAAATTTTTTCTTCTAAACTATTACATAAGAGTGAATTAACCAATCATCAAACCTAATGGCAAAGAACATAGTTATGATATATGTTGTTACAGAAAAACATCTTTTAATTTTTTAAATCACATAAGTTGAGACGAATGTTATATTTTACATAATTTCATACTCGAAAATTAAAATACCTACCGCAAAAACTCGCGAGAAAACAGATTATATTGTTATCTTTAAATTTGATACAAAACTCAATTCAAACTAAACCATTAAAATTGGTAACGCAAAAAAAAATTAAATTGGATCCGCTGAACACAAATTTGCAATGTTGTCCCTACAACCTTTACGTTCGTGAAACGGAG